GAGTTCCCTCGTAAGCAATCAAACTACTACACAGCGATTTTCTCCTTTTGAGCACCGTCCTCAGTATTTTTCCATTGCCATCGGTCATTACAACAGAGTTGGTGCAAGTCATTAAATTTGCTTTCTAATGAAAAGATATTTGACAGTAAACTCACTTATCCCTGTAGGAAATCCTACCGGATTTGAAGTTTCGTCCTGCTTGAGAACTCTATTTTGGAAGGGATAATATGCAGACTCTAGCGAATGTCTATTGCTAGCCTTATTACAGCTGCCTAAAAAAAGAGTAATTTACTAAAAGTTTAGATTTACACTAGTTTCGTTGGGATTAGCTTTCACTTATATTCCTTTTTGCCATTTTATTCTTACCTCAGTGCCATTCAGCCATTTATCTGAATATCTGTCTTAGTTCTACCTTAGCTAGTAGGGAGGTGGAGGAGGCGTCCCACACTCATTTATTTACTATCTTTATGTAGGTACTGTGGACAGTTCAGTAATGAACTTTACAAATGGTTCACTTCATTTGTTCACGTAATTTCTGCAGATACAAGACTGTGGTAGTTGTCGAAGGCAGATGTTATTTTTAACCCTTCTGCTAGGGGTCATCACGAATTCTCCCATCTACAGTATACACCCTTCTTCCATCACATTAAGATTTAACACTCACTAATAGAAAACAGAGTACGTGTCCTTTGGGATGGCGCTCGCTTTTCGATGCCACCAGTGCAGTGCCTCGACACTTCCCTGAAGAAGAAATAAGGCATAATGTTACGGCAGAATATGTTTTGGTGAGATAGAGAAGGGCTGTGGACTATTGGTAAGGCCAGGAGGCCATTTCACTCATCGAAAGTTCATAGGCTGAGCATTAAGTACTAGCAAATCCGAGAGTTAAACAAATGGTTTAAGTTTTACAGCATTCATGATATGACTCTCTTCAAATAAACGATTTGCGGCTACTTGTATGTCCCCATCAATTTTTGACTAGTTGATAATTTATAAAGACAGTTTAAGACTGCATTAAACCACTTTAATGCTTTTTAAATATACTGATGTCTAGTCAATGGAACCTTCACTTTGTGTAGCTTTATGGTCACTTAAAAAAATGGTCAGTGGTGCTTTCTATCGAGAAAGCATAACCGTCCGAAAGTAAAACATTCGAGAATATTTTAGCGTTTAACCAAATAACGTGGCTGTACTAACTACCGCTCTTCATCTTTACTTAGACATCTTTGTGGTTGGAACTTAAATATGTATTGTATGCAGTTTAAAGATTGCCCTTTCGTTTATCAGTCATTTTCATCACTTTGTGTTCCTTGATTTTGACATTATTTCCGATGTTAGAAATCTTGACGAGCATAGACCTATATGTACTGCAAACTTTAACATATGCTTGAATGATTGTGTAATGCTTCGATTGCCCGTTTAATTCTTCGTTGTGGCTTCGTGGACACTTAAGGCTCTGCAATTGTAATTCCGCTGGACGATGGCATTAGCCACCCAGGCCTTCGTACGCCGCCATTACATATCTCGCCCTAGTACTATGCCTTCTTTTGCCTTCAGGAAAGACTCAAACACTACTGCTAAACGAAATGCAAGCATCGAATAGCACCTTTTTGCGACGTAGACTACTTGGTAATGGGAATGGTTATCATATTTCTGCTTTCTGCTTCCAAAAATAGATCAGATCTGGTCTTTTTTGAAAAGATCGAATGCTGCTCTGGCTTTCTATTGGTTATTTATTTATTTGCTAGCATCTGCTACGACGTGTATCCATCAAACTGACTCCTCTCCGAGCATAACTGATGATAAGTTATAAAACTTCGAACTCTATTTCAGGCATACCATTTCTAAAATGGCATTTCTCGGCTACCGATATTCTAAAAAACTGCAGAATTAAAGTTAGACAGGAGCAGATTAAAAATGCCCTTACGCATTTGCATGAATTTGCGGCAAAATTGACAAACTTCACAATCAGCCTTTGTTCAAGTGGCGTATTGTCTATCACCACAGCGGTATTTGGGTACTATGAAGAGATCCACAAAGTAGAAACAATGGTAATATAATTAACTAACATGGTATTGGTGCTAGCAGGGCATCTCATAAGGTAGAAGTGACTAATTGAGTCATTTTCTCCATTAGGCAAAATGAGAAAGAATAACTAATGGAATTTGGAAGCGCAATACTGTGTGAAATGTCGTAGCCAATATGCTTGGCGCTAATAAAGGGAATTTTATAGGCTATTCATTACGATCCCATTCCGCCCTTCCGCTTCGTGCATCCAGGCTTCACAATTTACATCGACATACTGTAAGCAGTTCTATTTCGTCAATGTTTAAAAAAAGCTCATCTAAATTATGACCCGAGTTGGATTCGATTTCTCTCCTCTGCAAAAGTATCGTGGAATATTTATTCGAATGGTTGAACTTATCCACAGAAGGCGGTTTTGTTAAGACGGCACAAAGGCACACAGGAAACCTCTATTCCAACAAGCGATTTAAAGTATACATTTGATGATATCAAATCTAGGGTCATTTTATAAATGTTAGTCCATTCACATGGATAGGTACGTGAGTAGAGAGAGTTAATTCCTTCCCATCTTTGCGATATGTCAATCTCTTTACTAACTCAGCTACTTAAAAGCTTCATAATTATTTGATTTGCCGTATGATTTATACTTATTCCATAATAATATCAAGTGAATTCGAGGTAAGTAGTGCTATGAGAGACAGCAAATAAATGGAGAGTCTTAAAGGACTTGCTTTGAGACTGTTTAAATGAACACTAGAAATGTGAATGTAATGTTTGGATTGTTTGTTCAAGTCCGAGCTTTGGTAACGGGTTATTCAGGGGCCCCGTCATTATACCTTTGCCGGGTGGCCTGGCCTACGGGCCACGTTAGTAGCCCCAAGCCCTTTTGTGCATCGACAATGCATATTCTGCCCGAATACTATCGCGAAGCGCTGCATTGAAGAGCAGTGCAAAAAACAAGGACCTTTAAGTAGAGAACACGGCTTTAGCAAAACCGAATATTGTTGTCCTAATCTGTAGGTCCCTAGGCAAAACCCTAGTTTTGTTTTACTCTTTTTGCAAGAAATTAGAGCAATGGGCGTTTTATGCAATTGTGCGTAAAGAGCCAATCATTAATTCGTAAAGAAAGCATAAGAATGGGAAATTTTCAAAACCATAATGGATATTGCTAACATTTATTGGGATATCACAATAGTGGATGCAAATCATTGCAATGTGCATATGTCATGGTGTGAATAATTAGAGAAGGTTTAAAGTGATTTAGTAATTTTTGTTAGTATCTGTTTAATTATTCGAACACCTTGAAATCTATAAACTGTACTTCCCCTCTCTAATGTGACTTTCCGGCCAAACCCACAGCATTCCAGTCAATCCTCCTACGCGCTGATGCTATTTATTATGACAGTCAGGATGACTCGGAGTGCAGCATTTCCCATACTATTTAAAAATAGCAGACGACGTGGATAATAGCCATTGAAGTGGGTATCTTGGGAACAGAATCTGAAGCAAACTGACTAAATAATGCATTCACAGTTCACATTCTTCATTTGGAAGAATTAAGAATTACAATGGCATTATGTACTTATTTGATATTCCACTTAACTGAGTGCTGAACTACGTTGCTAAGCAAAGTGGTATATCACCACATACATTACGTACATACTACATATATACGTACACTTCATAGTTTTCCCAGGCCCCTCCTTTGTTTTCCTTTCTCGCCGACCGCCATAAAGTAGTCGGTGAACCAGCAGCAACAGGCACTGAATCTCCTTGCCTATGAGAAAGTATTTGATCCTAACATCGCCGATGCATCTGGAGCTTGCTCCTATTCATGAACTATGATAAGGAGGAGAAATGCACTGTCATCGAAATTTTTAAATTCAAACGTTGCTCCAAACATCACCAGCTTCTATATCAATTGCTAATCAAAGGAGAATTAGCCTATAAGCTTGAGCATTTAACAAATGATGAGACTTAAAGCATAATCAAGGACTACTAGATTGCATTGATTCCCTTTTACTACTTATTTTCCACTTCACTGCTGACCAGCCATCCATCAACCAAAGTTTTATGTAGCTAGTAGGAACTTAGAGGCTGCATTGCCTGTTCACGCAATTTACACCTTCACGTAGGCACCACAGGCAGCTCGAAAATGAAATTGCTTTAGTCGTTCAAGCATGGTTTTGCTCTATTTGTTGATTTACCTTCTTGCAAAACACAAACTTGCAACAAATGCCAAAAAGGCTGGTATCAGTTTTAACTCTTCTCTTAGTAATGTTTACAGACTATCTCCTTCTGTGCCACTAAGGTGTTTTATTTAGTCGCAATCAGCAGGATAACTGCCTCCTGAAACGAATCTGCTTGCAATTGCTACCACTTTGTCACATTGTAAAAAAACATACATCTGAGCATACGGGGGGCTTGGAAGGACACTATAATTGCCCAAAGGCAATGCCACAGAGCGGAAGTACAATCCACATCTACCCAAGAAACGACTTAGTATATTGACTGTAGTTTACTCAGGTTAGAAACAGAGTGCACACTTCATTAATTACATTACTTTTTTTGCAAACCAACTTTCTCGCTAACCATGTGCACGGTCCAATTCTAGTATTTGAAATGGTAACGAAGGGTTAATTGTTAAGTCATACCATCTAAAATCAATTACCGAAGCATTATCACTCACATATCCTCAGATCAGACAAAATCTGCTATTTCCTGCCATAATTTAGACACCTGCTAAAGGATCCGTTATATCTCTAAACCAAAATCTTCCACGTTAATGTTTATTGTATAGCACACAGGCCTGCTAATGAAGATAATGCGCCCAATATACTCCACGAATTGATTGGTTTTCGTTTTACGAATACTATCCTTTCGTGTGTACAAATCCACTCTTAATTACTAATCTCTGAAATGGTTTTCGCACATCTACTCTAATCATACTGTTTGTTTAGCCCGCAGATGTGCAGATGAAATTTGATCCTAAGGATGAAATTAAGGCAAAAAAAGCCGACCACCCGAAAATATCCAAGGTGACTGTTCATCCTCTAGTTCTGCTTGGTGTCGTTGATCACTTTAATCGAGTGGGTAAAATCAGTGGAGGTCAAAAACGCGTTGTGGGTGTCTTACTAGGTGCGTTGCGTGGAAGTACCCTTGACGTCAGCAACTGTTTTGCAGGTATGTGAACCACGCCTCCCACTACTCGTTAGTTCCCTTCGAGGAGGATCTAACGGACCCGAATGTTTGGTTCCTTGACAATGATTATCTTGAGAATATGTTTTCAATGTTCAAGAAAGTGAATGGTTTGTCTCTTTTAACCGCACTAATCCTATTTAGCTCGTGAACGCATCGTTGGTTGGTACCACTCCGGGCCAAAACTTTGCACAAATGACATCAAGATCAATGAACTTTTCCGAAAGTATACGTCAAACTCAGTTCTTGTTGTGGTTGACGTTAAAACGAATGAAAGCGACGGAATCCCCACTGAGGCCTATATCGCAGTCGAGGAGGTCCACGATGTAGGCATGCTTAAAATAAAGTGTTTTTACATATGAGTCGGATTAAACTCGGATAATAAGAGACTTAAAGTATTCTGTTCCAAACCCGTTCAGCGGTAGTCACTATTGATCCGGGTCTTGACGAACATTTTACGCAAACCTCATGGACGCGAATCTAAGCTTGTGTGAAATAGTTCGCTAGCGGTTCCACTCTGCTGGTATTTCATTGCTTTGTGAATTAACATTTTAAAGGATGGAACTCCAACGACAAAAACATTTGATCACCTCCTCTCCGAAATCGGCGCGGAAGAAGCTGAGGAAGTTGGTGTGGAGCACCTCTTAAGGTTGTAGAATATAGACTGCTTTTAAAGTTCTCATATTTTGTCCGCTAATTTCCCCGTTTTATTCCCTTAAAGGGACATAAAGGATTCCTCTTTGGGCAGTTTGACGCAACGAATTGACGCTAAGATCAGTGGTCTGAGTGGAATGCTTCGTCAGCTGGAAGAAATTCAGGAGTACCTCCAGCTGGTCACCACTAAACAGATTCCAATCAACCACCAGGTGATGTATAAGTTGCAGGACATGTTTAACCTCCTTCCTGACGTGCGCCTGCAAGACATGGTACGATCCCTCAACATGACTTCGAACGATCAAATGCTCGTCATCTATGTCGCCTCCGTTATGCGAGCGGTTTTGGCCCTGCACGATCTGATCAACAACAAACTGGCTAATCGAGAGAGCGAGAGGAATGAGGATGAAGGGAAGAAGAACGCCAAGCCGGCCGTAGCTGGAGACCAACCGAAGGACGAGGCGGAAAAAATAGCAGAAAAGAAGATTTAACTCTGCACACATCCTTTGAGTCGCTTGGAATGGAGTCTTTAAAAATATATGCTTGCCCATGAACTGCCTTATTGATGAAAACTTGAAGGACCAAAACATGTATGGGAGACATGCCTATTATCTGGTAAGTAATGCACAGAAAGAGAGTGGTGGTAAATTAGAAATCTGTCAAGGCTTCTTCAGGGATGAGATTGGGGATTCCGTCGATGATGCGGTATGCTAGGCCAAGTTCTTCGTTTATGAGGAGCTGCCTTTCATTGTCTAGTCTACAAGCGTAACGAAGCTGAGGGACTTACATGAGCGGTTTCTTACTGAGAGGACAAACCAGAACCTCTAAATGCTTTGGGTCAAATGTAAGTGTTGTGGAGGAGTGCCTTCGAGGCACTCTGAGGGCTTGATGGAAAAGATGCCTAAACATCACCTAGTTGCCAAAATATTAAGGGTAAGCAAGTCATTAGTTCTTTCGGAAGCAGAAATTGAAGAGTCGTAGCTCAAGGAGATTTATTATCATTGATTTCAACAGTAGGTACTTTGGAATCGGGAAGCATTCTTTCAAAATATGAGGGCCGATAGGAGGCATTGGGTTGAAGAGGGGTTCGGTTTCGCGTTCCGCAGACATCACAGATTATCACAATCCCTGTTTTGTGGAACCGGAGACGACCAGTTGTTCGGGAGTCAAGGATGAGATGGCAGCCGCGGCAGATTGATCGACGCATTACCGGGGACAGACGAACGCGCGATTTCTTAGCCAGATGGAGCATTTGATTTACGCATCGGCGACAAATGAAGTAACTCATCTGACGCTCAAAATCACTAGATGCGCTTAAAAGCGGATAGATGCAGCTGTAAGCTTGACGATAGAGGATATCAATTTGTCGATGAACAGGAGTTGCTACATCGTTCGCTTTGGTATTCTGCAGTTAGATTAGTGTATAAAACCATTAGAGCAAATAAGTGATAGCGCATTACTGTGAACCACTGATAAATCTAATCTATGCACTAAACGCGAAAAAAAAGTAGCGACTAGCATAGAAGCCTTGATGGCTACCTACCTTGCCCATACCACACGCTACAAGACGCCTATCGATGATCTAGGTCATGTTGCCCGGTGGTCGACATGCCAAAATTAATAAATTTTATATAGAATAATTTCCTGGAAAAGAATTATGGTAGGCATTAAAAAACTTTTTAATTTGTTATAACAATGCATAACAGCGCTTGCTTTGGTTTATTTCTCGAACTAATTCCGGGCTATTCGTGAGTGGTTTTTGTGTAATGTCTGGTATTCCCTCCCGTCCTGTTGTACATTCGGATATACCACATGGTATTGTCGATGTACTTGAATCTCTAGTTGGCTTTGTGTCCCGTCAGTGTGGATTCCAGTATATCGAGCAGCCATGCCTTCCAATACTGACGAACCTGCTCATATCATGTGAGTTACTATACCAATCATGTAAGTTTCCTTCCTGCCGTAATTTTTGAATCTGAGCAACAATATTTGTCTCTTAATCTACAGTCTTTGAGTCACTTGCCACAAAGAGTCTTGCTTACGCTGAAGCAGCGAGTCGGACGAAGATTGTTCTGAATGATTTGGTGCTGGCATTCGTTGACTTCGGCTTCGAGATTTCCCGAATATTTGAGCAAAGTAGACACTTTCCAATGCCCGGACTCAATGGACGTAAGTATTCCTTAAGAACAACTTTACTTTTGTAACAACGAAGGGCTCTAAGCACCGACTTTGTAATGGATATCTTGAAGATCCTGAGCTAGCAAGCTGATATAATCGACTTAAATAGTGGCCATGTTATGTCCATTTTGGAAAGTAGAGCCAAAGACCTGGTGATTTAACGGTGGACATATTTTGCCTATTGAACACAGTGGAAGCTTCGGTCGAAGGCCAAAGCTCTTTTTAATAAATTGGATCGGATTTTGTCGCAGCTTTACCTTGTCACGTAACCTATAATTCTTGGCTTTTGGCAGTCACAAAGGGTCTCACTTTCCGAAGTTACCCTCTTAGGTCATTACTTATACAGGCGAATAAAGCATTAACCTTTCGTTTGCCTTTTTGGAATTAATGTAGTATAAGTGGCCGTACCCTTTCCTCTAATACTGTCAAAAGCGTTCGGATCAGGCGACCTGGCCTACGATGCACTTCTTGAGCTGATAATTGGTTCTAGTAGCATCCTGGAGATCGAATGGTTTGCTTGTGTGTCTAAACACGAAGTCTTCCATTACTTGTCTTTCTACTGCCAACCTCTATTCGTCTTTTAAAGCTGCTGCTCTAGGTGACCCAGCCCGAGGCGTAGTTTGTAAACCTGTGATTGGTCCAAGTGGAGCGCCAATTATCCCCTGCACTGTCAGTCTTCGCACCGACGCCGTCAAATCTGTGGGGTCCGGTGCAGCAGCTCTGCCTACTGCGGGGGGCGCGGCAGCGGGTATGACTGCTACCCAGACCGCTCCCAAGGCCCCTGCGCATCTTCTCCTCCCACCATTACCCGAACCACATACGTACCTGGACTCTAAGGTTACGCGACCCCCGCCAGCCCAGAGTTTGGCCAGTTTGCGCCGACAGGTGATTGATCAGCGCAGACAGATGCAGCTCTCGCTAACGTCGTATGTGTCACTTGGACAATCGGTGGATCATCTATTTCCGGGGGATCGGGAATCCTTTCCCAGTAAGTGATTTCATTAAGACATTGTAAATGGACTATTTGACATGTTTGTCACCAACGTCACGTGCATGTGATGCTCCGATTTTCTTTTTTGGTTCGTAAGTTACGTACCTTTGTCGCATTTGATTAAACTAAAATGAAGTAGACTGGATAGGAAAAAAGGTGTTATATGAATCTGGTTAAATGTAGGGGCTGTGATGGTGGCTACACACCGTATATGTTTGCTATTCACTCTGGCGGTTGGTTTGAATTTTGTAAATCTTGTTGTTATTATTTGGTATCAGGGATCATTTTTTGAGCAGCACGACTGCTTTTACTTTGGCGGCTTTGATTGACATTGGCAGCATTTTATTTTGTGGTCTATCTTACTCCCTTTCATTTTTCTCCCGCTAAACCCACTGTCAACTACATTCTGCTGCCATTAAGATTTTCAGTAAATAGCTCAGTCAAATGTCCTATTTTCGATTATGTTTTGACGTACTTCATTATTTGTGGTTAGTCAACTATTTGCCTAACTGTAAATACACTACTCTGTGGCTGTTCTCATTTTCTAAAGTGATGCTTACTTTTATGGTATGCGTTGCTTTCTCAGTTTGACTGGTCCTTAGAAAAGAGCTTCTTTAATATTATGCGTTCAAAAGTATCCATTGTGTGTTATCAGTTACTCTGCTGCTTTAATTTTTTTTTTTAGTTGAATCTGTTAGTTTCTTGCATATTACTGCAATAAATAAAATTGGCTAGCCCTAGATTTTGACAAAGCAATCATGTCAACGTTTGCGAATTCATCCTAACTGATAAGTGTCTGCAGGGCATCTTTATTTGAGTCTTCCTACAATATCCATCGCTGACATTCGAGTAATTTGTAGTGAGCTGTGCGGGAACTGTCCTGAATTACAATTGTTTTGCTCGTAATTTCACTGCAGGTACCGAATTCATGCTACTGTGACCATTCATTTTGTATATATGTGTAATATGCTAAAAATGATGCCCACTTTTTGGGTTGGTACTGGCTTTAGGCTTGTTGTTGACAAGGCGTTTGTCATTTTCTGGTTCGTTTTATGTATAAAGCTTATTTAGTGATTGTGGGGATTTTACTTCTGGTTATTGTAAATGGTGTTCAGTCAAAGTTGAACAAAATCTTTCCAATATAAATTTATTACCAGTTTTATGCGTTCAAAGATGAATATTATGTCAATCACTTTGTTGAGGCTGAATGCTCTTCTATTTTCACTACGACTTTGTAAGGCCATCTTGATAAGTCGTTTTAATAGCAGTTTTCTTCAGTATAAAGGCAAAACCACAGTATGTGTAGTTTTAAAGTCAGTGCTTGTGTTCAGGTAGTTTTCTTCTAAAATTTTGGCAATTTTTTAACAATACCTCAACGCATATCCATCTTTTTCAAGCAAACGACGCTTGTATCTGAGTTAAAACGAGGTAATTACGCTTGTCAGTCAACTCTTGTGTATTACTCAACCACAATGCTACTGTTTTCGTATGGATGATTCCTCACAAAAAGCTGCTTATTCAACTGAACAGTTGTAATGTTGACTCAAGCAGTTACCCGTTTGGGTACACAGTGTTCCTCATCTGTTTTTGGGGGGCTACTGTTTCAATTGGCTGCAAGGCCTTTTTGTTGAAAGCAAACCCCATGGTCTCACACCCCAACTAATTTTTTGGCTTCATGCCATAACCGACTTCAAACTCGGCTCATTAGATTTGGCAATCTAATGTCCGCTAACTTTTTTATCTTAGATTTCACCCTTTAACACCGCGTTAGACTTTGATTTTAATTCTGTTAGCAGGTACCGACCTTTTCTTGACTGTGGCTTTGCGTTGCGTCTTAAATTTTCTTTAATTGCAAACAACGCAATGCTCAGTGTAAGTTAAAATGGATTTGATATCTACTGTAAATAAACCTATTGCCACCCAACACCCTGCCTATCCAACCAGCTCAGTCGAACGGCTCAACTGATTTCCTATCGGTTTACCCGTCTACTTTCCTAGTTCTGTTGCCCCAGCCCTCGAGTAGACCCTACGTCTCCGCTCTTTTGGCGGAGTCCTTGCCCGAGTCGGAGGAACAGCCCAGTGATACAACGAAGTCCATGGACCAAGATTCTACTGAAAAGCCTCATTCCGGTGATGGCTCCATCTCCAACTTCTATCTCTGCAAACCTACTTTTCCCAGCGCTGAAGTTAGCTCGGGACACTTTTTGTGAAACTGTAGACGGGCAAAATTGTACTCAGGCGCCAACATGGACGTTTGGGTTGAAAAGTGCGTACATATCTATGTATTTCTTTGGCTCGAGATCTGATTTATCTCTAGGTGTGGGGCAACATATTTTGAACCTAGTAGGGAGCATGTATCTAAACCTATCTTTGTCTTAAAAGCGATTAATCTCTGTGTTTGGCGTAAACAATGGGCAGTGAGATTAGTAAAAACTCCTTTTAAAGTTGGTAAACCAGAATTGAAGGCATTTTAAAGCTGCTTGCTAACAGAAAAAATGACCTTGGTAGGATTCAATTGTAGGATATTTGCGATTGGAGGTCTTTTTGTAGACTTGCATGGCGCTTTGGCTCCAACATCTGTGTTTGGACCCGAAATAGTTGTGTACGCATGTTTTTGCACGGAATTTTCGTTTTACTTCTTGAGAAGTAGAATTCGCCTTAGATGTGCATGGGAGGCCTGGATAAGTTGCCTTTGTCGTTTTAAGCGTAATTCGTTTACCTAACTAGTTAAAACAGGAGACAGTAAAGTTGAGGTGGGCGTTGTAAAGGCTGAGTCATCTCCAGGAGTTGACAGTTGGCAAAATGGGCTTGGTAGCAGTGGGTTATGGAGCCGGCCCACGTGTGGAATATACTGCCTAACTTACTATCAAGTAGCATACTTTCGTCATACTAGCGGGTCATTCATGCCTTGAGATGGTGAAATATTCCAAATGGTGGCGGCTGATAAGGAGGTTGTAACAAATGAGTTTTTTGACGGTTTGTTTGTCGTAGGTGAACGCCTTTACAGCCTGTAAAAATGGTCCAACGCCTAGAATACAGGAAGGTTCCAAAAAAAACAGGGCAGTGATCTAAGACACTTAATCCCCACGAAGTGCTAGTGGATTTTATTACTCCCTGTAGATATGACTATATTCTCTGAATTAAACGGACTTCGCAATCGTACTAAACGAAGATAAATATCTTTGACTTCAACAGAAGTCAAATTTGACACGTAGTTTGAGCTCTAGTGGCTTTTCGGACTGTAAAAATGCTGTTCACTTCCAACTGCGACTTTCATTCGAATTGTGCTTTCTTTGAGGGAAGTTATTTCTGAATGTGTTTGCTATGACCCAAACGATGCAACAGAGGCAACTAGAATATCATTACCTTGCTAGATGGTTCAGGGCTTTCTGTTCCAAAGATTTCGCTCCCATAAATAACCCCCATAATTGTAAACTGAAACTATTTGTAGTGAAAGTGGTGAAAGTGAACTACTAGAGGCTAGTCTTTGAGGTGAAAAAGTTGAAAATCGGATGAGTACAGTTTACATTTAGACTGCCACGTCCACCATCGGCGTCACATATGTGTGACGTGATTTCATCAGTTCGTAACAATTGCTTGCATCAAATCAATAATGAGAAGTAGCACAACTCTAAGGAGGATACGTCACCTCTGGGCTGTCGTGGTGAATTTTCCTCGGAGATTCCCGCCACTGACCTTGTTAAGCTAAGCTTACAGAAGTCAGAGTTATGAATAAGGCTTGGAAATACGCCCACCGAATCTTGAATAGGTTAACCACTACATATCCCTTTGCAGTCTGTATGAAAGATTTCTTCTTTCGGTTAAGTTATCTTTGTCAACATATAATTATCCCCGGTAGATGTGCGCAAGAATGTTGTTTCACCTTACCAATTCTTCAGAAAAAAGCAAGACTCTCCAGTTTGTTATGAACTCCTTATTACCAGCCTCGAAACCTTCTTGCGTTGTTTAGCCATCCCTAACTCACCGTCGCGAGGTTCCAACGTATCGACCAGGTCGTTTAAACAGCCCCGGTTGGTAGTGGTGTGGGTGGTTGAACCACGACGTTGAAGCCGATCTAAAGCATGGCTATTGACCCCGGAGACTCTCGACTACCACTGTATCGTGATGGAACTGTTAAACCCGTGTGGCGAAAGCTATCTCCTTGTAAAAGTGTGGGACTTTACCTCCTTCACAGGGACTACTGGTCAGGCTACCAACTCCAACACGAGAGGCAGCATACACAGAAGTTACCACAGCCTTCTGAATGCAGCGATAAGCCCGGATCTGCCTGGAATCCCGAATTTCGCCCAGAGAATAACGGAATTGTTGAAGGTATTGCTCATGTGAATCCCTGGATGCTTAAGTACAAATCTAGAGTTTATGCCGAAGTGGAAGCGCGGTACTCTATCCATCGGACCGAGTTGGATGCGTTTGATTTTGAAAATGACAATGTTATCTTCTCCACAAGAGTAACATTGAATCCTCCTCTCTGCGATGAAGATACAACGAACTGTTTTGCCACTCCACCAAAAGATTTACATCAATACAGTGCAGATCTTCGTCAGCTGTATGAAAAATTGGGCGGTCCTTGTGCCTCAAAGCCTTTGAAATTTGAAAATCTCACGTCTTCAGGTGTTTTACCTGGGAAGGCATATGGCAACCGCATGGAACACACTTTCGTTCCACCTACAGAAGCTACAAAGTGTACGGAGCATCCAGACTTGCCTTATGTCACTTACAACTTTCCTTTCCGTTTTGATATCAACAGTGGTCCCGACTCGATCATGCTCAAGTCCAACAAACCATCTCCTATTGGTAAACACTCCGTACCAAAGAACAGAAGGGAACTCCACCTTGACGCTATTTATGGCTTCCATGAAGGTGATGATGAAAGCGACCTCGAAGAGCCTAGTCCCGAAACTGCTGTCATTCTTCCACGAATCAGGCACCCACGCCAACCCATTGAAACTTATCGAGGAATCAAGAAAATTGACTTAAAGATGCAATCCTTCAAAGACTGTTTTCATGTCGATTCATATCCCTGGCGCCAACGACACAAAAGACGTCCAAAGGGTGGGATTTACTGGTCAGTTCGAGTGTACGCGATAAATCCGAACGCACTAAGTCCGGAGGCGAAAGATTTAGCTGAACTGAAGATTCGAAAGTTGACTTTTCTTCCATTGAGTGCTAGTCTACATCACCAACCACCACCGCAAGTCTTAAACAACTACTGCTTAGCCGTGGTACCGGGAGAATGTTCCGATGCTGGAGTGATTACACTAGCTGCGAAGTTGGATAAGATTTTTTACGCTCCGGGTGATCCAATCCATGTAAACATGAAGATATACAACATTTCTAGCAGAGTGATACAGCAGATAACTGTAGAAGTTATCCAATACATTCGAATAGCAACGATTAACAATAGAGTTTGGAGAAGTTCAATTTGTAAGCGGGAAATAACGGCAGAAAATAGCAAAGCGGGGATGCCGGTTCTACCAGAGACAGAAAATTTGCGATTGCGGTGTCGACTTAATCCCTGGCCAGTGGAGGCCCAGTATGCCCACCTTTTTCGCGATAAGCTTCACAAACTTCGTCCACGTGTCCCAATTGAAGCGGAAGCATTCACGCTGAATATGCCGACCGAGCCAAATCTATTCTACGGTGTACAACAACCAGCACGGTATGAGGAAGTTGTACAATACTCCGTCGGTAGACACAAACCGGCATTTTCTACACTGCAAGGGATTGTGGAAAAGATATTGACAAGCAATTCACCCATTTCGATTAGAACTCCTGAGCCATCAGTAGACGAGAAGACGTTTGAGAAAGACCCCTACAACCATCATAGTTGCGTCAGGCACAAAATGGAGAATATAGCAAATCAATGTTCACGAACACCAACGGACCAGCCCCATCAATATCCCATCTTCAAAGACTACGAAATTTACGGAGAGGGGCTGGACTATTCGAATGCCGTACAACGGATGATGGCACCACAATGCACCCCATGTGACAGGACCAGTGTATTGAGAGGTCAGCCGGTATACGTAAACTATGAGGTCGTTGTGAGCGCAGTTCTGCGTCCACAGAATCTGCCTGACCCTCTGGCTCAGGATGCTCTTCTAGATGAATGTCAATTAGGTAGTGGGCTATTAAACCCCCCCAAGGGAGAGATCGTTGGAACTAGGGGACCTAGAGTTGCCCTGCCTGCGATATTTTCGGTAACAACGCCCCAACCGGAGATGCCAGTCCCAGTTGCTAATTATAATGTGGATCCGAGGCAGGACAGATTGCCAAAAATCCAACCCAAAGTGCAACTTTGGGAACCAAGTGATGGAAGGGGATTCTTTTTAGTGAGAGAACAACGCAAAGTGGCGCCGTGTACTACGTCGGACCAAAATACGTCTCTCTGAGGGTTTATTTCAACAGCGCAGAGCCTTAATAAGAATTTTCGAAATGCATAAGTTCTCTTATCCGCAAAAAGTGGAATGTTGAGTGCCTCGAACATATGGACAAATCCATAAGACAAGATGACCTACACAGCTCTAGGGAGGTTTTTTAAAAATCTAGAATACAGCCATGGAATAATATGAGGGTCGTGTACTCATTCTTCGTCTTGCTCTAGTTTAGCCGATTTCAAATAATTCTTCACGAATTCCGTTTCTAGTCCCTGTTGGTTTATTTCACCCCAACAGGTAGTTCCAAATGATTCGATGCCCCATGGCACATCCGCTCGCCTGATATCAGTGGGATAAAGTGAACCTGAATGGCAAACACCTAAGCTTCAGAGTACCACGCACATTCGTGAGCCATACTTTAGTCACCAAAACACGTCGTCCGTCAACGTTGCGAACCATTCCCAATCTTGTTTATTTATTGTAAGTAGCATCCCATTATGCTTGTAAATAAATCACGATTTTTCCAAAAATTGTCTAGATAAAGATCTGAGGTCATGATAATGATTTGTGACAACGGCAGCCAAACTCAAGCATTCACAAAATTTATCAACATCCAAATTGTTAATAATAAGCAATACTTGGAAATAAGCAATATTTAGAAGGATCATTTAAGACAGGTAATGGCTATTCACGAATTTGCCAACGTTTCACAAAAATTACCAGCCAACGAAATCCCACAAAAGTACTTAATTTATAACAGCTAAGAAGCATAGCAAGTAAGATTTTGGATTTCCACAGGGTTCTTCCAATGCAACACGAGTTGTCCCGAGGGTGGCAGTTATGCACGAACAGTGCATAAAAAAGCGTATTTAAAACAGGCATATACCTGTGTCCTTTCACTATACATAGAAATTGGGAAGCAACTACAAACTAGAACTACGAAAAAGTTATTTGGGATTGTAGGTCAATGCACGAGTCCTGTAGTCGACCTCGCCCCTGGTAATTTCGCCAAACAGCTTATCCTACGATGGAAAATTTAAAAAAATAATATTTTAATATTTATAGTTAGCTAAAATGGGAAAAAGGTGCCACTAAACTCACTCTGCGGCGAGCCAAAGCATAGTAAATTAGAGCGGAGATGCCACAAAACACAGCGCTCACGAGTACTCCACGAGTAGAAGGTTTAAGGTACTCCGCGTAGGTAACGCGAGCCGAAAACCAACGCTGCATGTTAGGGTCATGCTGAGAAGTGAAACCAACAAACCGCCTTATAAAAATCGGGCCAACATCTCAAGTACAACAGCATTGACATAACTGAAACATATATAATCTTAAAAAACAAGAATAACTTGATGTTCGAATAAACTAATTAAAGCAATAGACGGCTACTTACAATAGCACCCATGGGAGGTTTGAAGGGGTTACTTGTGATACGCCTGTACTCCGCTTTCATAGCATCCCGATATTTGGCCCGAGCCTTGATAGCGTCTTGCTCTGCTGGGCTTTCATGGTAAGTTTTCCAAGGATCAAAACCGACACTCGACATGACAAAATGCCCCCACTGGGTCTCGAACTCACCGGTTAAACTATCAGTGCAGTAAAACAAGCTCGCCACCAAAATACCCATTAAGACCATATAATTCCGAGCTTATTTAGGCATTAACGAAATTTTATTGCTGTGTAATGCTCTAACTGAGCGGTTTTGCATTGGGAACATATTATTTTGTAAAACTGAGTTATCTATTTGAACACACAAGACAGGCGCGGTTGTTTGTTTAAGCGTATCAAAGCGTCAACGAATGAACAACTGCTGCGGTGCCAGCGAGATTCAAGGAAAGTCTTGAATTTGCATGTAAATCTTCGTTCTTTGTTGCACCACTTTTACATGATCGATTAACCCGTGTTTGCCTGCAGCTCGTTGTTCCTTACCTCATCCTAGGCGGTAGCTACCCTATCACTTATCTGGGACTTCTCGTTTTTTATGCATTATCAACAGTGCTCGCAAAGATCACTGCATTTTTCAACTCTCTTCTTCATTCTAAACTTTTGTTATGCAATTCGTTACGCTTGGTCATGTTACGGAGGTCCTGTCTAACAATCCTGTTTCGCTCGTTAAGTTGCTTTTATACTTGGATCATAATCTTTCCTTTTATAATGGTTCATGGTGCATTTTTATGATTGCTCTCTTATTTGTCCATCATATCTTTTTTTATTGGTGTATATTTTGCCTTGCACCATTTATGTTTGAATATAAGGCGAAATCAGAGCATTCTATAACCACTTTAATTGTAGAAACGAAAAATATGGACGATGATAATGACAAGCACAGTATTTGCCGAAGCGAAAATTGTCGAGTGCGCAGAAAATTGGAAAGTGCCTACCAGCGACCAGGAATACTGAATGAAGCAAATGTATGCTACTTGCGGTCGCTTTATTCATTTCCATTTCATACCTATAGGAATCCAAAGTTTTGTCGTCCATGGTTTTTCTTGATAAGAATACAAGATCGAGTTGTTTCGTGGTAAAGCTGTTAGTATATGATTCCTGAAAATTACGTAATCGCTAATCGTACCCTATTTTTGTAGCACTCCTGTAAACTGCATAAACTACGTTAACCCATCAATTTTTTCAAACTTACAGACTCATCATTCAAGAGATGGTTTTACCAGTAAAAGATTTCACAACACGTCGCATGACCGGGATGACTTGGAACTCACTCTTCGTCAGTTAGATGACGAGAAGATTCGATCCATGCCTCCTAAATTCTGGTAAACAACTATATTCTTTCTTTAATAATTGTGATTTCTGCACTGCCACGGTCTCTTGGAAAAGAATCAATACAAATATGCGTTTTTATTTCTCACTGGATAGTTTAACTTTTTGTCATTGTTTGTTGTTCCCGATTAGTGAGAATAAAACTTGGCAAGAGCCCTAGTTACCTCGTCCAAATTCCATTTTTAAAGGAATTTAAACACAACCCGTTTTATGCTTGATTTGTAAAGCCATGGAACTGTCATTTTGGTCCCATTAACTGAATTATTCTTATTTTGTTGTTTTCAATGCTTCATGTAATCGAAATTTCTGCAATGTCCCGAAGTTTGCAAGCGATTTTAATGCTTTGTACGTCAATCTTGTACAATTTCCTCAATCCTAAATGATGACTTAATCATATAGTTAGGGTTGGTAAGGTTTCAGAACACATTCTTCTCTTATTTTTTGGCACCCGAACTTTTATTTTGCAAGATAACGGCAATGAGTCTTCTTTTTTATGTAAAAACTGGCTGTAGACTGCTTCTTAAATTATTCCTTTTGTTGAATCAATCGCCACTATAGTACACCTAATTTTCCCATCCTACAAATTCCACGTTCGTGTAGCATTTTTCTCTGACAGCAAAACTACCCTTGCTCACCCCAGGTTCTCTCTCGGTCTTGGTTCCTAACTGCCTATTTCTCATGCGAGCATTTGATTTTCTATCGTCAAGGAGAGATGATGGTCTTTGGTAACCTGACAGTTCGTAATGTGCAAGCGCTTCTACAGTCCAACACACAAAAAATGCGTATTGTCTTCCGAGGACAAAGTTGTGACTTTGAAGAGTGAGGTAGGCATTAGACGGACAGTCTCGAGATAACCCCTGTTGTGCTAATCCACTTAACGAAGGTTGGAATACAAAAGCCAGCTTTTACTAAATGTCAATTGGTCAGCAATCTAAAATGCACGGAACTAGTTCTCAAAGCAACAGCAAATGCCAGTAGACTGAAGCACATCTATGCTTTATGTTGTCCACAAACAATCGCAACTTTTTGTCCTCACAGTTTGCAATAAGTCGTTGCATCAGGCTATATCGAAAGCCGCGGAACCTTTTTCACCTGATATATCGCATTCATCTGTTTCACTTAATCCTACATACCGAAAATCGGTTAACATGGACAGAGCCTAATTCCTCTCTTTCGTTGATGGTTATTTTCTACGTATTCACCTGCATACTAGCCGGTCCTGAACCTGCCTTTTTACGGAAGGTAATACTCACCACTTTCGCTAAATTTAGTAGGTTGCCTTATGCTAGTCTGAAAGCTTAAATGTACTGGTTTTTCATTCTTGCAGCGATGTCAAAAAGCCTACATTTGTATTCTATGTTTAGTGTCCCAAGTGAAATCAGGAAATGGTTTCTGTGTAGCAATTGTTGCTTCACCATGGTGACTGAACAGATTTCCGCAGCGTTACTAAACCCGGTATCTAAGTAATATATCAATTATAACAGAACCTTTCTGCTCTATTCAAAGTTAAATTACTATTCCAGTGTAGTGTTTGTGTTGTAGGAAGGATCTGGTCATTCGCGTGCAGTATTTACTAGACGCGAACCGTCTACTACGAGCTGATGTTGCCCATTTAAGCGGTGAACACCACTGTCCCCTTCACACTTGTGAGCCGTTGATTTTGAATTAATTTTGTTCCCTATTTCGATGAGAGATGTTATTTAAGTTCATTGTTACCAGTATAGACCAAAACCGTTGGCGCCATTTTAATTTATTATTGTGATTTTACTGTGTGCAGACATTAGGGATTTGCGAGTCATTTACATTTTATTTTATTAACATATACTTTTGTATTATTGTTTCTTAGAAAGAGCTTTTGCATTTTTAACTTTCGTTAGGAGTGGTTTTTTTGCTTTCGAGAATGAATCGAAAACGAGTGGTGAAGTTGTAGTGTAGCTCATCAAAATTGCCTTGAAGATGGGAGAAGACATAACACTAGGGGAGAATATGTATTATCGACGTAAAGAGGGGCTGCTGGCGTGGTCCGAGGCCACGTTGCCGGATGGAAGTCAAATGGTTGTGCTCTTCAGTGCCAGTGCCCGTGTAATCTAAACCCGAGAGCTAAACAAACGGGGTATTACAGTAGAGTTTATCAATTGAGCATCATTTTTAAGTAACCTTAATTCTGCTAAAAACACTGTTCCAGTGTCTAGTTTGGCTTTTGATGCCACTTTGTTAGAAATTTAGAGAAAAGAATTTTGAATGCTTTGGGGGCATATTGTCATGCTTGGCGTACCGTCTATAGGGGCCCTAAACATGCTGCTTCGTCTAGTGCAGTCTTTTTTCATTTTTTACAATGGCCAGTCAGATAGCTTTATTGAATGGGACAACGTACTCCACAACTTTTGTTAAATGTGCTCTTAATTTTTGCAGCTTCTTGTACACATCTATTTTAGTTTTTATCCGCAATTTGTTAGCTTGGACTGTTTCGCCTACTCTCATTATTTAAGTAGTAACTCAGGCAATGGTAATCGTTTTAGGCAAATATTCCAGTGGGTGTTGCGCACAAACTTTCTACTCTGCGATCCCAGCTCCCGTAAGTTTTGTTTTCAAATGTCGCGAAATTCTGTCTTTTATCGAATATATATAAAATATTTTGTGTGCCTTGAAGGCGAATCATGATGAATGCTATCGTCGTTGTCAGGATCTGGAAGATGAGGTCGAGGCATTAAAACGGGAACGATCTCGTCTAAGGCAGCAAAGTTCCTCTATCCAAGATCTTATAAGGTAGATATTTGTCTCTGCGGCTTTGATGTATGCTCTTCAGATATGAGAAGGTTTTCAAGGTAGCAAAAATCTTTTAAATGGGGCGATTTTATCAACCTCATTTGAAACAGCATGCGATAAAACTTTAGTCATGGTAAATAATAAAACGATCCTTTTGAAGTTCACAGAATGACTCCACCTGAATATACTGGGGGCTACTTCCCAACCAGTGAAAAGTAACCGAGTCGGCTGGCCATAAATAACGATGGTTTCTGGGAATTACAGTGAAAGAGTTAATGTTAAGATAATTGTTTGTTAATCATTTTGAAGGTCTAATTCAAAGACTTTATGATGTATTTTCTTCTGTCAAATCCTCTTCCCGTTTTTTTTTAACTGGCTTTAAAATATGAGTTGCACCTTTCATATCCGTTCGTGAAAAACGGATTGTTAAGAATGAATTTTTTAAAAATATCTCAATCGCTTGATTGTTTTGATTTTCTTGACTAGAAATTTTATTACCATACGTTATATCAAAAAAACAAACGATTTCTTTTCCAAAATACGATCTATAAGATCTCATTTGTCGGCCAAATGTTTTTTTACTTTAAAACATTTCCTCGTAGTTGCGGTCTAACTCGAGTGACTTCCTTATGAATGAAGTGAGCAAATAGCTTCTCTAATTCAATCTCCGTTGTTCCCTTATTACTGCCTGCTAAACTTCTACTTCGCTACTTAACCGTGAAAGCAGCTCCTCCATTTTATACACCCAATGTTTCAACAGGCCCTTAGATTGGTCCTGACGAGATAATTTCTTTCTTCCTGGCTATTAATTACAATGCTTGCGCATTCGTATCATAACCGTGTCCTCTGTAGGGCCCACACTTCTCAAATAATAAGATCAATCATAATAAGGATCTACCTTATAACTGTAAAGTAATAATAAATTAACAAATACTGAGGAGTGTGACATTTAATCACCAAATAAGAAATTATTCGTGTTCATAGGATTCGCGTTAGACTATTGGAATTATTTTGCTATCGTGGAGATACATAATCACTATTTATTCAAACCTAGATCCAAAGTTTTTTTCTCACTTCACATTATTG